CTCACTGCAGGTATTATGGAGTTCAATTAAGTCTTCAGAATGGGTAATATCCTAACAATTTCTCTCACTTCCCAGCAGAGGAGGGAAAAGAGTGATCTCTCACAATTTTCCATGCCCTTCCCAATATCTCCCCATATGGAATGGGTGAAGGAGCTGAATTAGAAACTGGGAACTCCCATTGTAGATAGAGGACACTTTGTAGAACACTTTGTAGAACACAAGGAGATTCCATCTGAACATGAGGAAGAACTTCCTGACTGTGAGAGGCGTTCAGCAGTGGAACTCTCTGCCCCGGGGTGTGGTGGAGGCTCCTTCTTTGGAGGCTTTTAAACAGAGGCTGGATGGCCATCTGTCAGGGGAGATTTGAATGCAATATACCTGCTTCTTGGCAGGGGGTTGGACTGGATGGAGGTCTCTTCCAACTCTTTGATTCTTTGATTCTATGAGTTAGCTTTTCTACTCTAACAAGCCTAGGATCTACTTTAGATGAAATCTAATACCTACTGAATCCCATCCAAGTGTCTGCAGATCCTTCTAACTTATTACATCTCACAATGTGCACACTCCCCAGCTTTGAGATCGGGTCTCCATCAGCCTCTACATTTCCCTCCTTTGCTCTGCTTTTCATAATGTTTTGCTTGATGGAGAGAACACAAGGTCTGAATGTTTTCACAAAATTCTCTATGCCTCCTTTGTCTGCACTAATTAGAATAAAATTATGTATGGATTCCTTCTTCCTCTAGACAACATGGCCATGTGGCTCCCCACCCTTCGCTGTTCCAACTGAAGGAACATTCTTAGAAGACCTCATTGGAAAGCCTCAGGGCCTGGTTAGCCAAACATGGAAAACAAAGGTCTTCCAGGGAACAAGGAGCCACATTTCTGTGGGTGGCTCCAGGTCAGGTGAGAGGATGTGGCCATTATTCCCTGCTCAAGAAGAATTCTTTTTTCCCCAGATTTCTAGCATAGCAAAGAGTAAAACATTGAAAATAATTCTCACCCAAAACTTTGCCTTCCCCATTCCTTTGGGTGCTAAATCACTGCACATCTGAAGTTTTATATCACCACAATACCAGAAATTTGGATACTGAAGGAAAATTTGGCTGGGAGATAAAATATTTTTATTTTGCCAACATCCCTACCCATTCTTACAATACAGTGGGTTTCATTTGAAACCCTGACCTTCAATGTGGTCCTCTAAATCAGCTGAGGTTTTTGAGACTTCCAGATTGTCCTGGCTCCAGTAAGAAAAAGTGGGCAAAATAAATCTCCTGGAAGCCACCAGAAGAGATAATACACTTTTTAAACATAGCTAAAATAAAAAAAAAAACTATAAGACGCCCATGGACTATTCAACACTTTTAATATGTCTGTATTTGCAATAGCAATTTAGACTTCCATGGTTGTTTAGCATGGAATATTTCTGACATCCACACAGCCTCTGAAGATCCGAGTGTGGGAAACCAGCTCTTGGATCTATCACGATTGCTCACTGCATCTTAGAGGAGCCCCTGATGACGCAATGGGTTAAACCCTTGATCTGCCAGGACTGAAGACCAACAGATCACAGGTTCAAATCCAGGGAGAAAGTGGATGAGCTCCTTCTGTCAGCTCCAGCTCCCCATGTGGGGACATGAGAGAAGCCTCCCACAAGGATGGTGAAACATCAAAACATCCGGGCATCCCCTGGGCAACCTCCTTGCAGATGGCCAATTCTCTCACACAAGAAGTGACTTGCAGTTTCTCAAGTTCCTCCTGACATGAAAAAATGCATCTTAGAAGTATCTAAATGAGAAGCAGCCAAAAAGAGACAGCCCAAACTAAGCTTTCAGCCAAATTACAAATCCCCAGTTTCTTTTACAGCTTGCCTTCAGGTGGTCATTCCCACCCAGTAAGAAAGACATATATTCTATATATGATTTTTCCAACCAAACAGCCTCTCAAAGTATGTTAAAGTACAACTCCCATGATTTCCAAGAATGATGGGAGTTGTAGCCCAAGGCACAAGGGGGTTCCAGTTGGGAGAAGAGTACATCTTCCATCATTAGAGTATAACTCCCATCATTCCCAATGCATCAGAGTGGTCCTCGCTTGGCACAACTGAGTTAGCATTTCAAAGATTCACCCCCTATCAGAGGGAAAAGAAAGGAAATCAGATTAATACCCTCCCCACCCCTTTCTGCTATGTCCTACAAAAATGATGTGTCATTGTGTTGCAACAAGATAATCTTGAAATCTGAAAGCCTTTAATCCAGCTGGCATTTTTTTACTTGAGTAAATCCTGATCTCCAAAGGGGAAAAACTTGTAAATAAACAGCACAACAACTTGAAAACTTGAAATCAAAGTGAATTGATCTGTTCTCAACTCATAATCATGGCCACCCTTTCAAAATCAAAACACAAAGGTGTCACTGATCTAGCCATACATAGCCCATAGGCTAAATAAACAAAAGAGTAAATTATCACTTTGTGATACCTCCTCAAATCCACAGCCAGTAGTTAATTGCTGATAAATTAGAAATTGGGGCAACAGGAAACTGTTACAAGTAAATGCTTACTTCCTCCCACACTGCTTCCCCTTAAACTGGGGCAGACAAGGTGTTGTCCTACAATCACATGTGGCCCCCAAGTTTGCTTTTTTGGCTTTTAATCCTTCCAGACCTCTAAACCCCCATTTGTCTGTGATTTTCCCCCATCTAGAACAGTTATTCCTCTTTTAAACAGGCTGCCTTTCATCCCCTTTAATGTGTTTCCAAGAGAAAGAAAGAAAGAGTTTAGTTGTTGACATTTGTGGCAGTTTGTGTGGCTGCAAGAAGGATCCTAGTGGTAGAAACATGATCCGTAGGTCCACTGAAGTTTCTCAGCCCTACCCTAAAACCTCACCAAGAAAGACAAAAGAAACAACCATTAAAATGTAATCCCTGCTATCTGGATTTGACCAGTAGCAAATCTTTATTCAAGTGGTGGTTGGGGGGGGGGCATGATTCGTAATAGCCCACTACCATTGAAAGCCAGCTCAAAAACCACTAGTCTGGTTTAATGGACGGATGATCCGATTTGCCCTCCAGACACAATGGGCTTGATACTAATTCAACAACAATCTCAGAGGTGGCTTTGGGCGCATTATTACATCTCAGTCTGCATTTGTCAGTTTATAACCACAGAATGAATTTGAAGAGATCAGGTGCAGATAATAAATCCCCTTGAAAGGTACCGTAGGCACAACTGGTAATCTTGTATGTGTTTGAACTCACATACTCAAAATAGCTCCAAAATCAACACGACATTCAAAACCAACTCAAAATAAAGAGTCGTACAACATACTCAGTTTAGGCTTTAGTAAGTCTACTAAATTCAACTGGATTTACTTCTGAGCAAGCATGTATAGGAATGTGCTGTAAAATACATAAGCAGTTCTTCTACTTGATTGATCTTGCTCATCAAATGATTGACCAAATAGCTTTAAGGATAAAAAGAAGCATGTTCTGGTTGTGATTGCTTTTAGGGGGAAAGGGGGATATTTTGGATTATTCAGACACATAAAATGCTATCTCTTCTCTTGCCTTCTCTATTCTGCCTCCAGATCTACTTGGGAACACATCTAAAATGTGCATCAGATAAACAAGAATGTTTAGAAAAATAAAACTATTGGGGGAAAGGTTGTGAAGGCATGCACCCACTTGGAAATCATGGCAAAGACTGGGTTATTGGGCTTGGGCAAGAAAAACATACTTATAATCAGCCACAAACCCAAAAGGAAATCACGGTCCAGCTGCTGGTATCACCTGTCAGAAAGGGACATAACGGGACATATTCAGATCTACTCTCCAGGACTTCTTGAAAGAACAGAAGGAATCATATTTTGAAGATCAGTCTTCCCAATAGACTGGAAAAAGCCAGTTTGGGGAAAGCTGAGATCATAAAATCAAGGACACAGGTCAACACAACTCCCTCATTACGTTTACATCTGGATGAGGTTTAGCACCCATATTTGTGTTCAAGTCACTTTGTGACTTCTGGTGACCCCATGAATTTTATGACATCTTCTTAGGCAAAGGATACTCAAAGGTTGTTTTGTGATTCCTGCCTACAGCATCGCCTACAGCACCAAGTGATCATTAGCAGTCTCCCATCTAAGTAGTAACCATAGCTGATCCTACTTAGCTTCCAAGATCAGATATAACATGATGCCTTAAGGATATCTAGGCCCTACAGTGCCCACAAGTGCTTAAACAGAGAGTGCTGATTTCATGAGGAACCACCAATGTCAACAAACCTACAATGTTTCTGTATTCTTCTCAAAGGATCCTGTCTCCTTTCCAACTCCAAACAGAAAAAGGAATTTTACAACTCTACATACCTGAGCTGTGGTTTCTCTTGTATTAAACCAGGATTATGAATGCAAGGGTATGTCATCAGAAAGGCTCATTTGAGCTTAGAAAAGTTCCTCTTTTTGGACAACTCCCAAAACCTCCCAGACAGTTTGAATAGCACGCTGGCTGGCAGATTCTAGGAGTTGTAGCCCAATCCTACAACTCCTAGAATCTGCAAGCTCTATTTTCACCCAAATGGTGATGCACTGTGAAATAGCCCAGTGGTGGCTGATGACTTCCAGGCCATTGAAGTACTGAACCATTCTACGTTTCTGTCTGAACTTATTAAATGAGCTCTTGTGGGGGTATAGTATTGTGTTTCTTGGATATGTTCAAACTAACATCTAGAGCAGTGGTTCTCAACCTGTGGGTCCACAGATGTTTTGGCCTTCAACTCCCAGAAATCCTTACAGCTGGTAAACTGGTTGGGATTTCTGGGAGTTGTAGGTCAAACACCTGGGGACCCACAGGCTGAGAACCACTGACCTTCCAGACTCAGAGAGAAGGTACCAATCACCAATGCATTGACCTAACCCTACTGAGAGAGGAGATGAAAAAGCTCCTTGAGTACAACATCACAAAAGGCAATTCCCTACAGAAAGAAGAATCAACCCACACTGAAAATACCTGGTTAATGGAAGTCACCATCTGCCTGGGTATGATTATCTGCATGACAAGTTGCAAGAAGGATGTGACTAAGCCAGCCAGGATGGCCCAGGTGAGGGGCAGAGGCAGCATGCTGTAGGTGACAAAGAGGGTGAAGAGCACATAGCCAATGCCATCGCCGAGCAGCCCACAACCTAGGCCAGCAGCCAAAATCTGTGTCGCCATGGCCACCCAAGTGACCACCCCACTGTACTGCAGGTAGGTGTAAGAGGTTGTGTCCTTCCTGACCACCACTAAGGCACAGATGACCACTTCGATGCCCGTGAAGAAGCCCAGCAGAATGCCCTTGAGGGGGTCCATGGGGGCTGAGGCCAAGGTGAGGTGGAGCAGCAGGAGAGTCAGCTTGGTGAGTATGTCCAAGATGTTCACCACCACCTCTGACTTGCGCCTCTGGCCCAGGAAGTACCGCTGGTAGAGGCGCTCCAAGTCCCGGGATTTGAAGGAGTTGCGCAAGGTTGGGAAGATCACTCCCCGGTAAGTGTAGCCCCAGTTGAGGAAGAAGTCCGAGTTGCTGGGAGCACAGTCCACGTGCAGGAAGCCTAAGTCGCCACTGCTGCTGGTGCGCTCCGGGAAGACCTTGGTGCCCCCATTGTTGTGGCCGCTGAGGGTCTTGCCTCCTGACTGATGCCGGGAAGGGTGAGAGTGGTTGGAACCACAGGATTCCTCCGAGGCCAGCGCTTTGCTGCTGTCGCTGCTGTGCTCTTGGATGAAGCGCTGCTCGGTGATATGGCGCAGAGCGGTCTGCCACAGCAGGCGCTGGGAGCGTGCACCGCTGTCAGGAGGGGTCTGGTTGATGGTGTACAACTCATCGCTGTCACTCAAGCAGCGCACCTCTGACAGCTCCATGGCGAGGGGTCTCAGGGCAGCCAAGTGGGGAGGAGGAGGGCTCTCATCGGAGGCAGATGCTTCCTCCCATCCTCACCCACTTGGCAAGGGGATCAGGCGGTTAGTGCAGGAGCAAAGGGCCTCCCCATTATCTAGTTCTTTGGCACTGGATATTCCTCCTATCGCCAGTCAGCTTTGTAAAGTGCAATCCCATCCACCATCTGGGAACTCTAGTGAGAAATCCAGGGGCTTCTTGGAAGTTTGGGGCAATCAAAGCCACATGTTGGAGGTTCCCTGTCTCTCAGAAAGGAGGGACACAAACAAGAAACAATCTCTCACATGGAGCTGCAGTGGTGCAATGGGTTAAACTGTTGTGCCAGTGGAACTGCTGACCTGAAGGCTGCCAGTTCGAATCCGTGAGATGGAGTGAGCTCCCATCTGTCAGCTCTAGCTTGCGAGGACATGAGAGAAGCCTCCCAGCTAACACATCCAGGTGTCCTCTGGGCAACGGTGAATTTTCTCACACCAAAAGCGCCTTGCTGTATGTTCTCAAGTCACCTCTGATACATTTAAGTAAATTTCTCACATCTAGAGGCTATCTCCATGGTCAGCCTGGCAGGAGGATCCATCTCTTTTCCAGAAAGTCAGGCCATGGGTTTCCATTATTATTTTCTCAGCTTTGATGCAGGAGCCTCCGGTGGCGCAGTGGGTTAAACTCCTATGCTGGCAGGACTGAAGACCGACAGGTCGCAGGTTTGAATCCGGGGAGAGCGTGGATGAGCTCCCTCTATCAGCTCCAGCTCCTTATGTGGGCACATGAGAGAATCCTCCCACAAGGATGATAAAACATTCAAAACATCCGGGCATCCCCTGGGCAACGTCCTTGCAGACGGCCAATTCTCTCACACCAGAAGCGACTTGCAGTTTCTCAAGCTGCTCCTTTTGATGCAAAAGTGGTCCAGTGGTCCATTTGGGTCAGGGTTGCTCCCAGGAAGAGTCTGTCTCCATCCCTTGTGCTGCTCCTCCTGAAATAAAACACAGCGTGGCCTGGCAGCCCTGCTTCCAAAGCCAATGGTGAAGAGGGTTCCCTTTGGAGAGGAAGACGAGGGGTGCACACAGCCCTCTCCCAACTGCAATGCTATGTAGGTCAATTTCAAGAGTTCTGGAAGCAACAGAGAGAGACGGAGACAAGCTCAGGCAAGAAAGAAGAAGCTGGAAGTAACCTGGACAAGTGGAGAGGTACTTCGGCAGGTGTGCTATCCCTCTTCCGTACTCCAAGGGCTCTGTGCGGGTGCAGGTGGGAGAGCTAGAGGCCGGGAGAACTGCTTGGCTGGGATCCCCGCGAAAGTGGCTGCTCAGGAGGAGGAGGAGGAGCAGGAGGAGCCATCCGCGCCAAGGAGAAGGAGGACGGAGGCGCGAGAGAGACGCGAGGAAGAGGGGAGAGGAGGAGGAGGAAGAGGACTCCGAAGGAGAGCGCCTGCTTCTTCTTCTTCTGCTTCTTCTTCTCCTTCGGAAGCGCTCATCCCAGCCTCAGGGGCCAAGGAGGGCAGCGGGAGGAGGGAGGCGTCGGAAGCCGCAAGGTCACCCAAGCAGGAGGCGGAGGGGTCTCTTCTCCTCGGCAGGAAAGGACCCTCCGTGGCGCGAAACTCCCGGAGTCTGGTGGGAAGGAGGAAGAGGACGACGAGGAGGAGGAAGCAGCCGGAGTTCTGCTCTCCTTCCTGGTGAGGGGCGAAGCCTCGCGGCGGCCCATGGCGGGCGAAGAAGGCTCAAGGGCTCCGGAGGGGAGAAGCCGGCCAGCCGGGGCTCATCGCCAAGAAGGGCTCCAAGGATGGTGGTGATGCCCCTCCTCGGACTGGAAGGCGCGCCTCTCCTCCAAGACCCTTCCCCAAAAGAGCCCCCTCGGGTCCCGAGGACTCTTCTTCAGCTCGCAAAGGAGCCCCTTCCCCCGCCTGCCCCCGGCCCCTGCCCCTTCTGGCCCATGGCTCGCTCCGCTCCCCGGCGGAAGGCTTCCCAGGGAAAGAAGGAAAGAAGGAAGGAAGGGAGGAAGGAGGGCGCGCGGGAAAAAACACGGGGGGAAAGCCAGCCGCAGACGCCGCTTCTCCCGTCGGTCAGCTGATGACCCAGTGACGTCAAACCCGGCTGGGCCCGCTCCCCATTTGAAGACGGAGGCGAAGTCGGGCAGGCGGGCGGAGCCCCCTCCCCTCCCTCTCGCCCGGCCACGCCCCCGCCCTGGCCCCGCCCACTCCTCCAAGCAGCTCTCCAGGTCGGAGCACCTGGATCCTGGAGATGGATGGAGAGATTGTGAGAGAGGTAGAGATAGAGATGATGATGATGATGATGAGAGAGGATGATGATGATAGAGCTAGAGATAGAGATGAGGATAGAGAGAGAGATGATGATGATAGAGAAAGAAGTAGAGATGATAGAGGTAGAGATACAGAGATGATGCTAGAGAGAGAGAGAGAGATAGAAATGCTGATAGAGATAGAGAGATAGAGATGATGATAGAGATATAAAGATAATGGAGAGAGATCAAGACAGAGATAGAGATGATGATGAGAGAGTGAGCGAGAGGTGATGATAGAGATAGAGACAGAGATTATGATAGAGATAGAGATGATAGAGAGATAGAGATGATGATAGAGAAAGAGATGATAATAGACGTAGAGACAGAGATGTTGATAGAGACAGAGATAGAGAAGATGATAGACAGAGACAGAAATGATGATAGAGATAGAGATGATAGCGATATTGAGATAGACGATAGAGAAAGAGATGATAATAGAGACAGAGATAGAGATGATGATAGAGATAGAGATAATGATATAGAGACAGAGATAGAGGTTATGATAGAGAAGATTATAGAGATAGAGATGTTGATAGAGAAAGAGATGATAATAAAGATAGAGATAGAGATGCTGATAGAAATAGAGACAGTGATAGACAGTGATAGATGATAGATAAAGAGATTATGATATAGAGATGATAGATAGAGATATTTAGATAGAGGTGATGATAGAGAAAGAGATGATAATAGAGGTAGAGATAGAAACTATCATATAGAGATAGAAATAGAGAAAATGATAGAAGAGATAATAGAGATAGAGACAGAGATGATGATAGAGATAGAGATAATAGAGATAGAGATGATGATATAGATATTGAGATAGAGATGATGATAGAGAAAGAGAAGATAATAAAGATAGATAGAGATGATGATAGAGATAGAGACAGTGATAGAGAAGATGATAGTTAGAGACAGAGATGATGATAGAGAGAGAGATGATAGAAATAGAGATGATAATAAAGATAGAGATGATAGAGATAGAGATAGAGACAGTGATAGAGAAGATGATAGAGATAGACAGAGATGATAGAGATAGATATGATATAGAGACAGAGATGATGATATAGAGAGACAGAAAGAGAGAAAGAGGAGGAGAGATAGAGAGAGAAATTGATAGAAAGATAGTGAGAGATAGATAGATTGTGTGTGAAGAAGACATCAGGCATGGACAAACTTTGGCCCTCCAGGTGTTTTGCACTTCAACTCCCACAATTGGCAGGCTGTTAGGAATTGTGGGAGTTGAAGTCCAAAACACCTGGAGGGCCAAAGTTTGCCCGTGCCCGATCTACATTGAAGAATTAATGCAGTTTGATGCCATTTTAACTGCTATGGCTCAGTGCAGTTTTACAAGGCCTTTAGCCTTCTCTGGCGAAAGGTGTTGGTACCTCACCAAACCACAACTCCCAGAATTCCATAGTATAGAACCCTGGCAATTACAAAGTGATGTCAAACGACATTAATTCTGAAGTATAAATGTAACCCTAGCCTGCAAAGAAATTCTTAAACTTCATACTTCACCCTTTGAAGTTGGAGAACAAGAACATAAATAATGAAAACTCACTTAATTTGATGACCTTTCATTCACTCCAATCAGCAGACCTCAAGATGAGCTGCAACAGCACACACGTTAGAGAGATTTATTAAAGATGGGATTGCGGAACATCATGTTACTTCACCGTCTGGAAGGAAGAGTGCAGGTGAGATAGTGAAGCAGAAGAGGCGGCTCTCTATTTCTTGAGCAGGAAGCACCTGTGCCCACGCGCATACCTGGATTTCCCCTCTGGGTAGTAGCAGGATGTCGTGGGAACCCCACAATGCCTAGAATGTGTATTTGTGTGTGTGTGTGTGCAGCATGAGAGAGACAGAGAAGATAGTTGGCACCTGCTCCGTAATTTAGGACATGTGCTGCTTGCCAGCATAAAAAACCTAAGAGGAAAGAAAGCTGATAGGAAGAAAATCAACTTCTTTGAGACGTGGCACTGGAGAAGAGTTTTATGGATTCCATGAACTTTTACAAAACACACACATTGGTCCAAACCAAGTCAGGCACAAACTCCCTTTAGAGGACAAAATGACTGAATTGAATCTGTTGTCAATTGGTCATATCACAAGAAGATAGGACTCACTAAAAAAAGCAATCATTTTTGGTCAGGTAGAAGGCAATAGGAAAAAAGAAAGACTGCATTCCTCAAACAGGGAAACTATGGCTCTGAGTTTGCAAAACCTAAATAGGGCTGTTGTGGTCTTTCATTCATGCTTTCACCATAAGTTGGTGTGGACCTGAAGGCAGTTAACAAAAATAACAAGCTGATTTAGCGCACAAACTTCCAAACTGCTGTAACGCTTGGACAAAAGCCAATATTCACAGGAAAAATCTCTTTTCAAAATATCAGATCTAATCAGTTATGAATAAATAGCAAAAAATCTGCTAAAATGGAATAGAGGAGCAGAAACAATGCATCCTTAAGTTCTTGCCTAACTGCCAATGGGTTGGCGATGCAAAAAATATGTCCTTTAGTATCAGTACAAAGTGAGTCCAAGATACTCTGTGGGTTTAGGCAAAGGACACAGTGTCGCCCTTCAGACCCAAGCGCAAAACCAGACTGGATTGGAACTAGTCATTGGAGAAAACCATTGAAGAGCACAAGTAATCTTAAGAGGAACATTGCTGTGCATGGCTCTGCCCAACCTCTAATATTTTTTGACAATTCCTCATCTACAAGCTTCCGCAGCTTGAGTCTGCTTCCTCGCTTTGTCTGAAGGTGCCTAAACTTGGAACGACATATCTGTGAATGCTCTATATTAACAACTATGACTACAACTATCACTACCACTACATCTTCTTCATATCCTACATTCCTTCCAAACCCACTTTACCAAGCATTAGCCATATCGAGAATTGGAGATCGGTTCCACTGGCAATCAGGGTGCAGGGAGATGATCTTTCCACTTCCTCCCTCCAGCCAGCAAGGTTGTGGTAACCAGAAGAAGGGTCCTTATCACAGCTCCTCATCACAGCCATACTACTTGGTGAATTGGTGGTGGAATCATCATCCTTTGTTTCTTTGATCACCAGCTTAACAAACCTCCATCTCTTAATTCTGCCACCAACTTGTAAAGTAGGGGGGTCCTTGGATGGGTTCGGTCCTTTGAACAAGTCCTTGCTGAGGAAGTGCTGGTGGAAAGAAGGAAGGGAGGGAGGAAGAGGGGAAGGAAGTGTGGCCGAGGCTGCCCTTAAGCGGCCATGGAGCCGGGCGTCTGAGTTTTAGCCTCAGTTTTTAACCCCAGCTGAGGCTGAGATAATTTTGCCACAATATATTTAAAACATCTCTTTCTCTTCATCCATTTCATTACCATCATCTTCATCCGTCCTCATTTTTCCACATGCTATCTAAAACATCTATTTTTTCTTGTCCATCTCAACATCATTATCCCTCCCTTCTTCCCCTCACCTTCCCATCTCTCCTCTTCGTCCTCTTGCATTTGCCAATTAAGAACCAAAACCCCACCATCATCATCATCATCATCATCATCATTATTATTATTATTATTATTATTATTATTATTATCTTTAGTTGTACCCTGCTA